ATTAAAGTTGAAATAGCATGTACAGGGTGGTCAAAAAATAGAAAAATATACAGGGTGTTTCCTAAGTACGGTTCGTTACTTCAGGATGTGATTCCCTACAATATTTTAAGAAAAAAAAGTTCCCATAAACATGTGTCCAGAAATGCGTAATTTCTGAGATACAAAGTTTTAGAAAAAAATCTTTTCTTTAGCTCAAAAATCCCTTTTCCAATTTTCTTTTCAAATTTGGCAGGCAATTTGAAAAAAATTTCAAAGGTTTGAAAAAATAGTGACGTGCCATTTTTTTTCTACTTTTACCAAAAAACCCTGTATATTTTTCTATTTTCTGAGCACCCTGTCCATGCTATTTCAAGTTTTAATAAATCAATGCGATTTTTTCAAGAAGCAGAAACTTTTATAAAGAATAACTTTTTTTCGTAAAATTGATAATAAAAAAGTTTCCCATCTGTGAGCTTAAGTGGACACACCGTAAAAAAAAAATAATGTGCAGCATCGTACACGTGTTAAGAAGTGAAACTTCTTAAGAATTATCCCCCCCTCATATAACTTTTAAAGTTAGCGTATGAGTAGGGGTAAAGACAAAGGACCAGACAAAAGAACCAAGGGTATCGACGCTTGACAATAATGGGCACTCCTCTTTGCTTATAATCCTAGGTTTGTGTCACTCGTTCGTCTGCTTTCATTGTCAAGTTTCGTCATGCCCCAAATATATGGCTCTCTCTTTGCTTCACTGTATTTGTTGATAGCTTGTGGTTTTGGTTTTGCCAAATAGCGAGTAGAGAATGCATCTTGGGTCCATGACATAACTTTAGTCAACTTCAAAAAAACTTCCCAAGGGTGGTGGAATACCCAATATGTTTTTAGTTGTCATCATCAAATCAAATAAACTTATAGATGTTTATAGGTTATCCATTGTTTTTATCGATTAACTAATAAAACATTCAAAAGGGAGTGTATGAAGCCATTTTACTTTATAGCGAGGCTTATCTTCAATACTGATCAAATGCTTATAATAGTTGTCAGCACAGTTTTTATTCTTATATGGTTTGCTGTAGGTAATAGCATATTGTCAGAGAGGTAGAAAATGCGCCTTCATTGTCAATGTCAAACTTGATGAATCTCAACTATGCGTCAACATCAAGTTTACAAATCCAGCCAATATCTCTTGTTGTCGAAAACCATAAATTGCGGAAAAAAACTTATTACCCATATTTAATCGTTATGGAAATTTTTCTCTATTTTGTACCGTCAGATGTGTGTAAAAATATCTGTGGTATGGTAAGTTAAAATGATAATATGTAGTGCAGTGTCAGTATAACAACTCTAACCTGATTTTCGGAAGGAACGCAGTTTCACGCGCCACACACGAAGAAGGCCACAAAATCAAACACAAGTCCGAATGAGAAAGGAAACAATGTGTATTTCATGCGAAATAACATTCACAATGGAACTTCCTCGACATCACAATTAAAGTTTCACCTGAGGGTTTCAAATTTTCCATCTACAGAAAAACAACGCATTGAAACACATTGAAAGAATTTGCATCTAGAAGTTTCGATGGTCAGTAATTTTATGGTTGACTAGCTGACCCGGCGAACTGCGTACCGCCTCTGAATTATTAAAAATACCTATTAAATGTTGTGTTACCGTATCTATTAGCTGAATTAAATTCAGTTTTTTTCGATGGTGAATTTGGCTTTGGTTGAAGAAAATTAATGTTTACTTTCTAGATCAGAAGTCACCTAAAATTAAAATTTTACATCATCCCTTTTTAGGCAGCTTGTCGTTAACTTTTTCAAAATTGGCTATGTTAAAGGAACTGGGAAATCTTTAAATTTTTTCTCAACAGTCAAAATCTTGATTTCGAATCCTTATCCTATCTATTTATCTTTCGAACAAGCCTGAAATAGTAGAAACAAAAATTCTAGCTGAAATAGCATATCCTAGATTTTGCTGTCAATATAAAAAATTGAAATTCGATATTACAAAAAATTCAATATTTCACTTAGTTTTCAACCGATTTTTTCTGTCGAGGTCTTAAAATGTTCGCAAAATGATGAGCTTTAAGAATTTTTTTTAAAAAACTTATACAGGGTGTCCCAAAAAAAATTCCAGCGCTATCCAAAACTAGGCAATTTTTGAAGGAGTCCGCCATTTTGGATTTTTTTCAAATGTCAAAAGTTTTACCCTGATTCGTTAGTCTGTTCATTTCTCTTTCAAACAAGCCAAAACAAAAGAAAATTGGTCAACAAATAAAAAAGTTACAGCTCAAAAACAAAATTCCGGTTTTTTTTGGACCACCCTATATATAGATTGTTGTACTAGCTTCATAATCGTGCCGCCATACCTCGAGTTGTTTCAAACCTTAGATTTTTCAAACCAAACATATGGGTACAGGAACCTTTAAAAGGTTTGTTCTCACAGAAATCACAAACCAGTCAGAGTGTTTTTGATTGGTCTAAATCGCCAACAACCAGTTTTCCAATTATTTTCAATCAATGAAATTCGCTCTGACTGGTTTGTGATTTCTGTGAGAACAGACATAAAGTGATAACTGGGGTGATACCAAATTGAGTTTTTTTCCAACCCCATTCTTTAGCTTCTTTTGAACAGCCATACCATTGCTGTACTTGATGTTAGGTACGTTAGCAATGCTGTCGTGCAGCTGCGCTTGTCGGTGGTAGGGATGCCAAATTAACTTTACTTTTTAGTAATAACTCCCTAAAATACTGGTATCGATATTTATCAAATTCTCTTTGTTTTTGGATACATAGAGTGCAAGAAGTGCACCAACAACTTCTGGTAATGGACAATCTCACGTCATTGAGAGTGAAACAGTATCTAGTTGTTTAGAACCAGAAGCCTCGGCTCCAGTTAGATCGGAAGGAAAAGTTTAGACTACTTAAACTTGAAAGAAAATTTAAAAAAAAAAAGAATCTAATAATCTAGATACATCCACCTGCTAAAATTGGGGACAGTGTACAGTCGTGATACAAGATGTAGACAAGGCCAGGGAAAATTTACGAAACGTTATGGCTATAAATAGTCACAAATGTTACTGATGATAATTTATACAAACTAGGTACTGAGGATGTTTGAAACAACTTTATACCCGATCGGAATTTGACCTATGTAAGCAAAGTGACTTAAAGTTTCTGGTCTTTTAGATGCAAAATTTCTCAACGAAACAATTCAATAAATCGGATATTACCTGACACTAATCCAGGCTATTCTAGTTTGTCCTGAAATCTATCGTGCAATACTAGTATGTCCTAGGAAATAGGCATGGTTCCTAACAACGATAGGAACTTGTGGTATGTCCTAGGCCAAACTAGAATGGCCTGAAATCGCTTATTCCCTGTAACATATACATATACTACCTAACCTTCCTCTATCAACTGAAGACTACCATAACGAATTAAAAATTTTGAAACAATTGGCCTACAACAATGACTATGATCCAAAATGTATAAACACTTTAATATACAAAATTAAAAATGATAAACTCGAAAAAGAACTTTTCCCTGCCCAACACACTGACAACTTCAAATTTGTTTCCTTACCCCATGTTGATCCTGTTTTAAATAAAAAGGTGAATAATTATGTCCACCAACATGTGGATAATCAATGTGAAGATATCTTTTAAAACCATAAACCATCTGGGTTCTCAGCTCAGCTGATTAATACAAAAGATAGGGTGAATCCACTCACAAAATGTGGAGTTTACAAACTCTCTTGTGGTTCTTGTAATTGCTCTTATAGGCAGGACTTACAGAGCTTTGAAAACTCGCAATAATGAACACATGTCCAACTCAGCATTTGGTGAGCACATCCGCACCTCCAAGCATAACTTTGAGTCACAGTCCAACTCAAAGATTAAGAGGGCAGTTTCTTTAAAGAATTTCAATAGACTCAACTTCCTCGAGAACATTGAGATTAACAAGGAACTTAAAAATAGTGACCATTGTCTCAACACCCAAGTCAGCCTCAACAGAAGTTACATACCTTTGCATAGGAGACTACTTGATCAGTTTCACAATTATATTAATTAATAAAAATTCCAATTTCATAATCCTACCGGGTAATCGATAAAAAAAAAAAAAAAAAACCCGCTTGGAGGGTTGGAAGGTGGAACCAAAACAAGGTACTTTTCAGGTCTCCCCGAACCACCCCTTCGGTCGTAGGCACCCTAACCTCAAAATCTTAAATAGCACTATAAGTCATGTGATACCTTGTTTTAAAGGTCTTTTAATTCTCTAAATGGATCTGCAAAAAAAAAGTTATTTAGATTAAAATGTGACTCTAATTTTGATGAAAAACTCATGTGATCGGGTGGAACAGGTAAATGTGATTTGAAATCGATTTTATACAAAATAAATAACATCATGAAGAATTTTGAAGAAATCATCAAGATTTTATTTTTTTGAATCCCTTTCCCCTCACTGTACCTGACAGTATCCACCTCCTCAAGGGGGCAAAGTTGTTAACTCCAAGCATGAGCTATTTCCTGACAATTTGAATTTGTATCTGGATTTTTTGCAGATTCGTTTAGAGAATTAAAAAACCTTTCAAACAAGTTATCACATGACCTATAGTGCCATTCAAGATTTTGAGGTCAGGGTGGCTACCGCCGGAGTGGTGATTCGGGAATAGCTGGAAAGTACCTTGTTCTGGTTCCCCCTTCCAACCCTTTTTTTTATCGATTACCGTTTTCGAGATATAGGCCATTGACAGTTTTCGGTAGGACACCTGGTATACATATTTACAATTGCTTTATTATGAATTTTCTTCTTTTGCTCGCTTGCAGGTAGTACTGATGATGGCGAAAGCGGAAATCAAATCAATTTCAACAAATGGAATTTTGCATGAAAAACAAATTATTTCCTTACCTAATTATAGTAATTATAGGTTTCCTAAGTTTTCATTAATTTTGTTTGTTGCATGAGATATTCAGCAAAGCAAATCATTAATTGACAAAACACGTACTTTTTTTCTTCTAGGTTCGTTCGCCATTTGATGCAACACAATGCGTAGCTTGTCCAATGGGAGAGCTGCCGGATTCCCAGCACGTTCGTTGCATTCCGATTCCAGAAGAATATCTGCAGCCTGACAGCGGCTGGGCCATTGGAGCTATGGGTCTCAGTTCCACCGGGATGTTGATTACTTTATTCGTGTTCGGCGTATTCATTAAGCACAATACTACGCCTGTAGTGAGAGCAGCTGGAAGGGAACTCAGTTATACTTTGTTGGCTGGAATTCTGATGTGCTATAGTGTCACTTATGCGTTGGTTTTGAAACCTACCGATGTCGTTTGTGGGATTCAAAGGTAAATAAAATTACTTGGTAATAGATTTCTAAGTGCCCAGTTTAATTTAAGCGAGCGTATATTTTTGGTCAATTATAAAGGGCTCAACAAGAACTTGAATTTCAAATCGCACGCCATTTATGTCTGCCAAGCGTCAAGTCGGCCATATTGGGCATATGTTCGGCGAAAACATTGAGATTTACTGAAATACCGCGTTACACTCTTGAGGAACGTCTATTAATTTTAAAACTGGTTACAGAAATGGAGAATACTTTACAGAGACAAAGCGCAGATTACACATTTCGGCGTACATAATCGGCGCCGGCGGCTCACTAATGAAAATTTGATCAACAAATTCGAGCGGACATTTGGTCGTCTTGGAAGATCTGCCAAGAATATCTCCGCCGTGAGAGTTAGTGTTACCGAACATCCAAGCCACTTCCATCCGGCATTGCGGCCCGAAATTAAACATCAGATTTGCATCTTCATGCTGAAGCCAGCCTAGCTGATCACAGAAAGGGCCGAAACTTTCCCAACTGGATATTGGAACGTCACGAAGTTGACGTTGCATTTCAGAACAACATAATCTTTAGCGATGAGGCGCACTTGGCTTCAGCTCTTGTGTCAACTGTATTTTGTAGGTCCAGTGCAAATATCCGCTCAAATTTGTTGAATACATTTTCAACAGTGGGCCGCGACGGAAAATTATGTACGCATAAATGCTCACGTAATCTGCGCATTATCCCTGTAAATTTTTCTCCATTTCTGTAATGAGTTTTCACAATAATTAATATACGTTCCTCAAGAGCGTAAAGGCGGGCACAGACATGCGGTATTCCGCGAATTGCGATTATTCGTTATTTGCCGAGCCGCTCGGTAAATTAATTTGTATCCGGCGAGCAAGGTGTACACACATGTGGCGTAGTTGCCGAAGGTTGCTCGGTGGGGGAACAACGACTATTTGTGTACAAGGGATGTGGATAATGAAACATTGGACGCTACAGACAAAACAAATCGAAACTAAAATTTGCACGAATATGTGTATCTAGTGCAACGCAAATATTTGTCTCCTTTGCCTCGGCCCAAAAGACCGACAAGCAATGGGAAAACATCGAATAGCGAATATTTGCCCGAGCAACCCATACACACTAGTCGCTACTTGCCGGGTAGACAAGCACTGATAGTGCTGCCATAAATTATGAGCTGTACTCTGTACTGGAATGAATGCCGGTAAGTATTGACTTAAAAGGGAAATAGTCTGTCGGCGAACCCCGATAACAAATTTCTTATGGACGAGGGCAATATACCAAGCGTCGGATGAAACGGATGTGTCAGAGAAAAAGCGAATACCTATTTCAAAAAGCGTGTTGAATTTTTGATTTCCAAAAACAAAAAACTTGTAGCCTGCAACCACTTTGGGTTCACCCTGTAGACAAACTTCTGCTTTTTTCATAATTTCAATTATCTTTCATCTGGCATAAAATAGCTCCAGGGAGTAAAATTCTATTTTTCTAAAAAAAACCAAACAAATATTAACTATTTATACTGAAAGCGGGAACTCGCTGACGAATATTTATCAATCAACATCCCATTCCGGCACAAAGTTGACCTTCGATTAACTTTTTTGTATTAACCGAGTGCATAAAATTGTTGCAATTTTATCTAAATTGAAGCGCAGCCTTCAAGTTTTATTTGTATTTTAGGTTGGATAAATTAAATTAGCAAACGATGTTTGTTTTTATCGTTTTTTTACATAAACTGGCTGGAAGCCATAAATAAGACGAAGGGAAGCTTGTTTTTGAAATGTTACGTCTACTGGTTAGATGAGCTGATACTGATTATAATTAACTGAAATGAGAAAGAAATAAACCATTTTTTTTCGACTACTACCCTGAGAAATAGACATTTTTCAATTTATATAATCCTTAGGTTAATAATATGAAAATAATGAAAAAAAAAACCTAGGTCAATAATGAAAATGACGTCATGACGCAAGAATATTGCCATGACGTACCAGGTTTCTATCGGTTTAATTTCAATTTCAACCTGTCAATTAAAAAAAAACAGGTTCCTGTATGTACAGGGTGTCCGAATTTGGATGGTTTTAATAGGAAACATCAATTTCTGAGCGAGATACAAAAAAATGAACCTCCCACTCCGAGGCTCAAATTTCTTGAAATTTTGATTGGTGTAAACCGCATTTTGATATCTTCAACCGTTTAGCCACTAGAGGGCGATTCTCGATTTTGAGCAATACTGTGAAATCTTCATAACTTTTTTGTTTATAAAAATAACTGATTTCCGTAAAAACTTCCTAGAAGCACTTTTTCAAGCAGAATTCAGTGACGTTTTCAGTTTTTTTCTATTGGGCCTCGATTTCAAGATATTGACCAAAATCCGATTTTTTCCAATGGGACACTTTATATATTAATAGCCAGTTTATCTCTAACAGTTTTTGAGAAAAAAAAAATATTTCGGCTTTTGTAATAAGAAACAATGAGTTGCAAAGAGACCTTTCTCAGTTTCCTTACAGATATAAAGTCCTTTTCTTACACATTACTTCTTATGACAAAAACCGAAATAATTTTTTTTCTCGAAAACTATTAGAGATAAACCTATCGAACTTTATATCATTGAAATCAGAAAAAGCCGAGCTTTCTAATGAGCTATTAATATATAGAGTGTCCTATTGAAAAAAACCAGACTTTGGTCAATATCTCGGAGTTGGGACCAACTAGAAAAAGAAAAACTGAGAACGTCACTGAATTCTGCTTGAAAAAGTGCTTCTAGAAAGTTTTTACGGAAATCAATAATTTTAATAAACAAAAAAGTTATGATTGGTTCACATTATTGCTCAAAATCGAGAATCGCCCTCTAGCGGCTAAACGATTGAAGATATCAAAATGCGGTTTGCACCAATCAAAAATTCATGAAATTTGAGCCTCGGAGTGGGGGGTTCATTTTTTTGTAACTTGCTCAGAAATTGATGTTTCCTATTAAAACCATCCAAATTCGGACACCCTGTACATCATACGAAATTACCATAAGCTGTTGATAGAGGGCACTTTCGACAAGAAAAAAATTGAGCACAGATTTCAAACCTATTTTTTATTTTCTACTAGCAGTAGTGAAAAAAATTGTATATATTCCTGGGTAGAGAAAGTCATTATATACCTTGCGCATTATAAAATCGCTCGGTATAAAATTACCAACTTCTCTACCTAGGTATATAATATACTATTTTTATTTGTTGTGCAAATCTTGTAGTATTTTAAAGAAAGGTAAAGTGAACGAAAATATCCACGAAGTTGTCAATTTAATGTGTATGAGAAGTTGCATGTACCTGGTGTCAAGTTATAAAGTACCACTTCCTGTAACTTTTTTATTCACGATCAAAAATACAAAAGTTACAGGGTGTGGTACTTTATAACTTGACAACCTGTATAGTACATACAGCCTCTAATCTGTGAAAATTCCAACTTGTATTTTGATAATAATTTCATGGCAATCTTTGGTTTAATGCTTGGGGTAAGTAAAGTCGAGTGAGTGGCTGTGTTGCTCGTCGCAGAATCAGGAAAATGAAACCAGTGTACTTCGAGCAAATCTACTTATTGATATCTTCTCAGCATAGCGCTTTGAGCCTCCCGGCCATCCTCAGTGCTAACTGAAAAGAGAGAACGACGAGCCTGTTAGAAAATTCTGTTCCGTGAAGCGATGTGGTTGTGTACGGCAGAAGCAGCAACGATCCAAATTTGAAGGAGAAGGTTGTACTCACTTGTCAGGTAAAGTGCACAGGAACCACTGAATGGGCAAATAGAGCAATAAGCATACATTGTAAATTAGTAGGTAGTTAATTATAAAATATGTATATGTGAAAATTGTGAAAAGTTGTAATAAATGTTGTGAAAGGACTGGACTACACATTAAAAATAGCGACGGACTGACACAATAAAGCCCGAATGCATTGAACGGGAGAAAGGCAAGCTTGACACCGCATTTTAATTTACAAGCAATAATTGCCAAATTTAGGGTAATGCCTTTAACCCATCACTATTTTTAATGTGTAGTCCAGTAGTCCAGTCCTTTTACAAAATTTTTAACAACTTTTTACAATTTTCACATATATTTTAATTAACTATTCACAATGTATGCTTATTACTCTATTTGTCCATTCAGTGGTTCCTGTGCACTTTAACTGTCAAGTGAGTACAACCTTCTCCTTTAAATTCGGTTCGTTGCTGCTTCTGCCGTACACAACCACACCGCTGCACGGAACAGAATGTTCGTTGTTCTCTCTTTTCAGTGATAGGCCATCGGCGGAGAAGCGTTTGCGTTCAAAAACCCGGTATTGAGGCATAATTTACTAAGACTAGTACCAGATGATTCAGCATATTTTTCTGCATATAAAATCAAAATGGACGACTAAAAATATACGGAAACTAAAATTTACAACTTTAACCTCGTATAACTTCTAAACCGCCTAAGATAATAAAATGATTTTTTCTCTAGATTCTAGACAAAAATATTCTCTTTAATATGGTATATACCTATATTATTTGAAACATATCAAAGTAGAGCTCAAAAAATCAGTTATTTCGTAGGCACGGCGCGAATGAGTAAAATATGTGTTTGCTTTAACATGCGATAACTCCTTTATATATTGGAGTATTCAATTAATTTTTTGCTCAAATACTGGCAAATTTAATTGGCTTCCTTTCGTCTTAATTATATACCGACCTATTTTCAATAATAAACTAACTAGAGCCGTTTAAACACAACAAAGCGCGGTCTGGCGGCAGAAGTTGTGTGGCTCCCCCTCTCATTCCCGCTGCTCGCCACAGGCATGAATTGAAAAACTATGCCGTAGACTGCATGCCAATGGCATGACAGTCAATTTTCCTTGTTAATGGAACTTTGTGTTCTATTGATGGAAAGTCTACACCTTTATTTCCAATTGTAATTCAGAAAGCGTCAATGTCGTCAATTGTATTAATTGAGAATAGTCAAATGTAATTGAGAAA